AACAGAACATTGGTATACTTTATTAATGTTAATATAGGTACTAAAATTGAGGTAGCAGAGTGTGGGATGACGCTGTTGTTGCAAATAGAATACTAGTTAGGGAATATAAAAATCACAGAATCATTTGAGTTGGAAGGGACCCTCAGAGGAAATCTAGTCCTATCCCCCTGCAATGAACAGGGACACCTACAGCTCATTCCAGTGCTCAGAGCCCGAACCAGCCTGACCTTGAGTGTCTCCAGAGATGGGATGTCACCACAACTGTGGGCAAAATAAAATAGCATATTTGGAATCATATTGTCATGTAGGGTATTTTCAAATTATTATTTTTATTTATTTTTTAAAGCTTAAAATGTATTTGTTTACTAGAGGAAACACAGACAACCAAGATATAATCACTAAAACATAAACTAAATCCATGTTTAAACCTGTTCTTATTGCCTGAGGGTCGCTGAACAACCCAAAGTAAGGCCCAGGGTCACCATCTGGTTCTCCCAGCTTGACAAGTTACTCTGTGTTAGTTGAGCTACAGTAACTACCTACCTGTGGGCGGCCAATGCAAACTAATATGGTTTATATCAACTGCCCTCAATATGGCCTCAGTGAAGATCATGTCTCCTCCTGGATGACATGCTTGATCACATGTGGAATGAGCATGTGATCTGAGACAGCCACCGTGGCTTCACCAGGGGAAGGTCATGCTTGACCAGTCTGGTGGCCTTCTATGATGGAGTGATGGCGTTGGTGGACAAGGGAAAGGCGACTGATGTCGTTTACCTGGACTTGAGCAAGGCCTTTGACACGGTCCCCCACCACATCCTTATCTCCAAATTGCAGGGATGTGGATTTGACGAGTGGATGACCCGATGGATAAGCAATTGGTTGAAAGGCCGCAGACAGAGGGTGGTGGTCAATGGCTCCATGTCCAGGTGGAGGCCGGTAACAAGCGGCGTCCTCTAGGGGTCTGTCTTGGGACTGGTGCTCTTTAACATCTTTATCAATGACATCAATGATGAAATTGAGTGCACCCTCAGCAAGTTTGCTGATGACACCAAGCTGAGTGGTGCGGTTGATACGCTGGAAGGAAGGGATGCCATTCAGAGGGACCTTGAGAGGCTGGAAAGGTGGGCCTGGGTGAAACTAATGAAGTTCAACACAGCAAAGTGCAGAGTTATGCACTTGGGCCGGAGGAATCCCAGGCGTCCATACAGACTGGAAGGAGCAGTCCTTGACAGCAGCCCTGTGGAGAAGGACCTGGGGGTCCTGATGGATGAAAAACTTAACATGAGCCAGCAGTGTCCTTTTGCAACTTGAAAAGCAAATGGTATCCTGGGTTCCATCAGAAGAGGGGTGGCCAGCAGGGACAGGGAGGTGAATGTCCCTCTCTACTCTGCTTGTTGTGGATGCCTTGTCCATCCCTGAAGGTGTTCAAGGCCAGATTGGATGGGGCCCTGGGCAGCCTGGTCTAGAATTAAATGTAGAGGTTGGTGGCCCTGCGTGTGGCAGGGGGGTTGGAGATTCATGATCCTTGAGGTCCTTTCCAACCCAGGCCATTCTGTGATTCCGTGAAGACAGAGTGCATGATACATGTTCCAGGCTGAGCACGCTTCCCCGGGACAGCAAACCATTGAGTTGTAGTAACCTGCTTGTGTGCCTGAAGGGATCAGACATTGTTGTCAAACTAGTCTTGCAGTGATCATTTAAGACACAGCCAGCCAGAATTGTCTGACTTGCTTGATGGTAGTGCTTGTCATATCTTCAGCAGAGCTGTGTAAACAACCAGTAGTTCCATACCTCTCTGTCCTGCTGCCTTTATATGCCAACTAAGCCAAAACAGTATGGACATAGCATTCAGGAGGTGGGAACAGTCCTGCAAAAACCCATTTCAGCAGGCTTCTGTAAAAGACAAACTGGCACTGGCACAGGCTGTCCAGAGAAGTTGTGGATGCCCCATCCCTGGAGATGCTCAAGACCAGGTTGGGTAGAACATGGTAGAAGGAAGGGATGCCATTCACAGGGACCTCAACAGGCTAGAAAGGTGGGCCCAGGTGAACCTGATGAGGTTCAACATGGCAAAGTTCAGAGTTTTGCACTTGGGCCAGAGGAATCCTAGGCATCTGTACAGACTGGGAGGAGCGGTCCTTGAGAGCAGCCCTGCTGAGAAGGACCTGGGGGCACCTCCCCTATGAAGACAGGTTGAGGGAGCTGGGCTTGATCAGCCTGGAAAAAAGGCGGCTGCAGGGTGACCTCATTGCAGCATTTCAGTACCTAAAGGGAGCCTATAGAGGGGAAGGGAATCAACTCTTTGAAAGGGTTGATAACAGTAGGACAAGGGGAAATGGTTTGAAGTTGAGGGGGGGGAAATTTAGGTTGGATATCAGGGGGAAATTCTTTTCAGAGAGAGTGGTGAGGTGCTGGAACAGCTGCCCAGAGAGGTTGTGGATGCCCCATCCCTGGAGGTGTTCAAGGCCAGGTTGGATGGGGCCCTGGGCAGCCTGGTCTAGTATTAAATGTGGAGGTCGGTGGCCCTGCATGTAGCAGGGGGGTTGGAGATTCATGATCCTTGAGGTCCCTTCCAATCCTGGCCATTCTGCGATTCTGTGAACTAACAGCACAGAGCACATTGTAAACCTCATCTTCGTTGGTGATAAGGCCCCTGTCAGCCTGAGCTGGTAGATGGCAAGCAGGTCATGGCAGGAGGTTGGAACTAGGTAGGCTTCAATGTCCCTGGATATTGGAATAGATCTGGATACTCAATATGTGCTTCTAATTAACTCAGCAAAAATCATTTCTCTAAAGGCAGTGGAGCCTCCAGCATGCTCAGTCCACATCTCAACATATCACTGAACACCTCACTTGTGGCCCTCCTGCCATCCTTGATGGTGACCTTGATTCAGCCTATGAGGAGCTCATTGTACCAGGGTATTGCTAGGGCCAAGAATCTTGGCATGTTCAAAGAAGAATTGGAAACTTAAATAATGTGATTATTTAGAGTTATTATAGCTAATGCTAACAAAAACTTTGGAAAGGAGGTAAAGCCTCATGCTCCAGGGTGTAGGCCAATCTCTAACTGAACTTTCTAATAGCATAAGACCTTAGGGCCGATTACCCAGTTAATATCTGCTTGCAGCTGGGTTTCATGCACTGGACTCTGTGTATTGCCATATCAAAGAAGGATAAAATATATGACTGTAATTTCAGCCTCATCCAAAACCCCAATTTCTTCATTTCCTATATAGCTAACCTCTCTGACCCTGTTCTTTCTTAACCTGCAAGATAGGACTTTGCAGCTTTAGGGAAGTATTATAAGCCCTTGGAAATGCTTGGCCATCAGATACTCCCTCAAAATGGCACTGCTAGGAAGTTAGAGATACATCCTGCTATACTATAGCAGGTAGCAATAATAATAGTATGAATCACACAGAGGCGGTAGCTCGTTTCAGTAACTGATTCGTGTCTCAAATTGCAGCCTTTAATGATGTCTGTAGCTAAGGAGGATAACCCCTTTGTAATTTTCTTTCCAAACAGAAGTATAGAAATAACAGGGGTTTTTGTTTGCTTGTTTTGAATGAGATTTTGTCTTATTGAAAAAAAGTCTTTCAATAAAAACAAAAGTTTCAAGGAAAAAAGAACTCCTCAGATTACACTTTTTCATATGTATGTGTATATACAAAATGTTAAGTTTGAGTTTAATGACTGATTATAAAACATTACATAACATAACTTTTCCTAATAGTACTCTGAACTCTTAATAAAATCCAGCTTTTTGGATAGGTGACAAATTCCTAATGCCATTTCAGTACATATTTGGATGAGAAATCCATTAAGTAGTATTTCAGTAAGCACAGAATATGTTTTCATTTTCTCAGTGTCATCAATAATGCAAAAATCAATCATGGATGAGTTTCACGCAATCCTGAAATTTGGGGGGGTTGCTATCAAAACTGTTGAAAGATCAAATGCCTTTAGGCAACAACAGATGAAGGTTGCCAACAAAGCTTCCTAATTGAAACCATGACTGCAATTTTCACTTAAAAGATAGGGTCAATTGTGTCAATGGAATGATTTACTCTTCTTTTTTAATTGCTTACAAGCTTGATATAACTGAATTTGGAAAACAGAGAACCATTGAGATACTGGCATTCATATGCTCTAATGCTGTTATGCTTTTATAACTTCTGATTATCAGTCATGGGATAAATCTTCCAGACTTTTTGAGTTTTAGATTCCTGTAGCATGAAAAAAAAACAAAGCATGAGCTTTGTTCTGCATTCAGCAACATGAGCATGCTGATATGTACAGACAGATGATCATAAATTATTATGTTAATGCAATTTAAAAATATTTATCTGTTATAATTGAGTTCATGCAGCCCTCCTGGTGTGGAGGGCTGTAAAAATGCTAAATGCTATTTAAACAATGTAAAAATGTAAAAATGCATTATGTTGTTACAACTGCCATTTCTAGTGATACAAGTGCATTAATATGTTGATTAAAAACAAATCACATCTGAAGTTAAAGCCACACAGGTTTAAGTTTTGCAAATGGAAATTGCAAATGGAAATGGAAGCATGACATCCTGCAAGGAGATTTCTGCCCTGTTGTAGTGACTGGCATTTTAAACCTGTCTAGAAATTAGGAGATGTGTGGTTAATTATCACTAAGAAGACAGTGATTAAAAAAGGGAGAGCAAGCAAAACTAGAACACAGTAGAAACTCCTAGTAAGGAGTGAAACAGGGACCAGGACTGCGACAGTGATTTTCCTGTGAAGTTTTCAGCAGGCAGACTAATCTCAGACACACCTCATGCTGACCTTTACATGCGTACCTCCTAAACTTTCTGGGTGACTTTTCTCCCAGAAAAGTCTTTGCTTCCTCCATCTCCCGGCAGGGCTGCCTGCAGGATCTGGTGATCCTGCTTCCGGACAACGCTAAGCAGCCTCCACCTCCCTCCCTTCCCCTCTTCCCTCCCCAGCTACTCACTCCCTCTCTCCCCTCAGGCTGGCAGGATTCCTGGGGCAGAGCATGCAATCAGTTCGCAGGGAGCAGCCACTGCAACAGGAAAGATGCAGAAGCACAACCAGAAGGAGCACCTCTACAAGCTGCTGGTGATAGGGGACCTGGGAGTGGGCAAAACTAGCATCATCAAGCGCTATGTCCACCAGAACTTCTCCCCCCACTACCGGGCCACCATTGGGGTGGACTTTGCCTTGAAGGTCCTCAGTTGGGATGCTGAGACTGTGGTACGGCTGCAGCTCTGGGATATTGCAGGTAAGTACAGAAGGAAACCCTGTTCCTAAAACATCTAGAGACTATAGACAAAATATAGATACGTATTTGTTTGTACCAGTCTTTAAATTGCCTTTGTGGTGAGAGAGAACTTTAAGGTAGTTTGAGATTTTGGAGTTGCCACAAAGCCAGCAGATGCATAAACAAGGGATGTCAGAGCAAAACTTGTCCTGCCTGATTTGTTTCTCAAGCCCTCAGACCTGTATGGGGACATGGACTCCTCTCTCCAGGTGCTCTGACTCTTCCCTGCAACTGCCACATCATTGGACTCACAGATCTCTGGGATGGGAGAGAGGTTGACAGGAATTTTTTGCTCATCTAGTTAAGTTAGTGGAAGAGATGAGGGATTCAGTAAGATGGCTAATGTGATTTTTATAGTTATAAAATAACAAAACAAAAAAAATCCTGGTGTCACTTTGATCACAATACGTTTTTTTTCCTTCCTTTCCTCTCTCTTCCACATTTCTTGTGCCCAATAAAATGTAAAAACTTCCGCAGCCATTTGAAAATTGTTTACATTTGGCCAGACTTCTGGTGGTTAAAATGTATTTGGTCAGATTTACTTGTCCTCCAAGAATACACTACTTTATTTTAATTTTACTTTAGCCTAGAATAAAGAATCTAACATCAAGCAAAAAAAAAAAAAAAAAAAAAGGTAATTTAATCTTGGGGGAGGGGGAGATGGCTGGGGAGAAAAAGAATAAAGAAGTCCATCTCTATAATTGCATATTTACATTATTAAAAATAGGAATTGGCATTGTTATAGTCAGTGTTTTTTTTTTTTATATTTGTCTTCCAATTAAAACTACAGCTTTTACTTTTTGCCAACTCCCTTCCTAGAGTTGAAGGATTTTTGAGTCAGTGGGCAAAATAAAAGCTGTGTATGGCATATTTTGCATGCAGTAAGTAATCCTTCCTCACGTAGCATACATGAGAATCCAAGTTCAGCAAAAACACGACGGCTTGCAGCTGAAAGGAGGGCATCTTTAAAACTCTAAATTAAGACACTGTGTTCATTAAGTAAGGAATGAAGGTGCAGTTTTAGGCAGCTGTGCCAGCCTGTGGGTTCAGGGTTCTAGTATGGTGTTGTGCTGAGTAAAACTACTGAAATAGGAAAATTCTTAACATTCATATTCATGGAGGGTGTGCCTTTCTTCCACAGTTAGCTGACTCGTATCTGAGCACTGAATTTGGCACCGAGGTACTAAAACTTATGCAACAGTGCTGCTTTGTGCATACCCTCAGCCTTTTTACACAACCATAGAGTTTTGGGGCTCTATGGTTCTAAATAAGCCCATGTCCAGTATTCCATATCACGAATCAGAATAATGGGGAAAGCATTGCTTTTACTGCTCATCAGTGATTGTAATGATGAATATGTATACATCCATCAACATTTTTTTGTGTGGGAGGAAAAAAACCCACTTCTAATAGTAAATTCTGAATGCATTAGGGACTTAAAGAGTGTATTTTGCATGCTTTGTTTCAGAGATTTATTACACTACTAATCATGTGCTGGCAGATCATATGATGTAGCTTTCAGTCAGGCTGCAGAAGCAATTACACTGAGTTGTAGTATACTGAATGACTAGCATGCTTTCTGAGTTATCACACATGACAGAGAGAATTACAGCACAGTACTAAATTTCATATGAATTGCTCAATTCAGAGCATCTCTGTGAAGGTCAAGACAGTGGCCGGTAATAAACAGAGTGCTGTCTCAGTTTTAATGACTTCTGTGTAAGGAGCTGTAGCTGTTGATGGCTGTACACAGAAAATAAGTTCTGCAGGTAACACTCTCCATTCAGAGCAGCGTGGAGTTATAATAATGGATCTGACTGATGAGGGAAAAAAAGCGTTTAAAAATGATAGTGAAGTGAAACTGATTGGGTATATGGTGGGAGTGGAAGTACTTTGTCCTTTTGTGGCTGTCATTTGTCATCACTTGCAAAGCACAGATATATAGGGTAGGAGCAACCTCTGTCTTTTGCTAGAATCCTTATTACTATGTCATGTTCAGCTTTGAGGATAAAAATTATCATAGAATCACAAAATGGGTAGGAAGGAAACATAAAGCCCACTCAGTTCCAACGTCCTGCCATGGGTTTGTTGCCACCTCCATCTCAGGCTGCTCAGGGCCCATCCGACCTGGCTTTGAGCACCTCCAGGGATGGGGCATCCACAGCTTTTCTGGGCGGCCTGTGCCAGTGCCTCCCATCCCCACAGTAAATAATTTTTTCCTAACAGCTAACCTAAATTTCCCCTCTTTTAGTTTAAAGCCATTCCCCTTTGTCCTATCACTATTAAACCACGTAAAAAGTCATTCCCTTTCCTGCTTATAAGTTCCCTTCAAGAACTGGAAGGTTGCAATGAGGTCTCCCCGGAGCCTTCTCTTCTTCAGATTCAACAAGCCCAGTTCCCTCAACCTTTCTTCACAAGAGAGGTGCTCCACTCATCTGATCATCCCTGTGGCCCTCCTCTGGATCCACTCCAGCAGCTCCTTCCTGTACTGGGGGCCCCAGGCCTAGATGCAGTACTCCAGATGGGGCCTCATGAGAGCAGAATAAAGGGAGACAACCACCTCCCTCTCCCTGCTGCTACTCCTTTGTTGATGCAGCCCAGGATGCTATTGGCCTTCTGGGTTGCAAGAGCACACTGCTGGCTCACGCTCAGCTTTTCATGCACCTGAACCTTAAGTCCTGCTCTGTAGGGCTTCTGTCAAGGAGTTCTCCCAGTCTGTACTCACATCTGGGATTGCTCCAACCCAGGTGCAACACCTTGCAATTGACCTTGTTAAACCTAATTAGGATCTCATGGACCCATTTTTTTTTAAGCCTGGCCAGCTCCATCTGGATGTCATTCCTTCACAGAATTGTAGTCCAAAGAGTAGCTTCCTATTTGAGTGTGAAGTGGCTGCTGAGCAACCCTTTCAAGGGTGGCAAATCAATGGCAGCATTTTTTTTAGTACCTACCACCACTTTAGAAGATCAAGTAATTGTTCTCTGAATGTACAACCTTCCATCAAATACCTGTTAGGTACAATTTGGTATCCATAACTTGAAACAAATCATAGAATCATGGAATAGCTTGGGTTGGAAGGGATCTTAAAGATTATCTAATTTTATTCTCCCTGATATGGGCAGGATTGCCAACCACTAAATCAGCCACTTCCTTCTGTTCTGTCAACTGCACCACTCACTTGGTGACATCAACAAATTTGCTGAGGGTACACTTGATTCCGCTTGATAAAGATGTTGGATACAAATGCGTTTTCTCTCTTTAACCAAGCTTAAGGATGTTGGCTTAGCATTTAGGGCATTTTTACATTGAAGATAATGGTGCAAACATGTCAATATCGTTTTGTGTCTGTACTTCTATATGAATATATATGTGTGCATATCTATATATATCAGATATTTCTGCATCTCTCACATTCTTATCTCTCCCTTTGTACAGTCAACATTGCCACCAAGCATGATTCTTACTTACACTTCGTTGTTTGCATCAGTGGGCAGTAAATTGTTTAAAAATTTAGAAATAATTTCATCAAAAATATTTTGAGTAAAATTAATGTGAAGCTTATGTGTATTATTAGTAAGAATATACCTGATGATTTCATGCTTGGAGTGGTGCTCTCTAGCCACCAAATTTTACCAATTTTACCTCTGATCACAGATATAAGAATAGCTACACATGGTAACATTCTCCTTGTCTTTAATTTCATCTCAATTTTATTTCACTGAATGTCCCAAAAAACCTGCTGTGGTATTCCTGTACTTCTTGAAATATGCCATCACCTCTACTGCTGTCTGAAATATCTTGAAATCTTGTTCCTCTGGCTTTTGTTTTGTTCTGTTGGTTTTTTTGTTTGTTTGTTTGTTTTTAAACTGTTACCTCTGTATGAGCATCCTTTAAATTTGTCAGGAGAGGTTTTTAGAAGGGAAGCTTTAAAGGAAACAGTCATATTTTGAACAAGGCTCTTAAAAGACAGGATCACTGTCTTCCCTCCTCTCTGGGGGTAGCTTCTCCCTTCTCTCTGGGGTAGCTCTGCAGAAGAAACCACCTATTGCAGACAACACGTCCAGACGTCTTTGCTATTCAGTTCTCTGTAAGGCTCCCCTCTGTGCTGTTGTCCATGTGTTGTGCCCATTTAGCTGTAGACTTATTGCAGGCAGCAGCTCTCTGGGAGAGGCATGGGGCAGAAAGCAGCACTCACAGCCTTCCCCTCACCACTTTCTTTTTCAGAACCATTTCAACACTGTCGTTATCCCTCCTGCTATGCATGTGTGGGCTGCATTATTCACAGTTAACAAATACATGTTGATTTGCTTTTACAAAGCTGGATCTCGACTCATAAACTTGGTCCACTGCATTAGAGACATCAGGCAATACCAATGACAAAAGACCAATTTAATTGCTTTCCCTGCAATTTCCACCTTCAGAAGCAACAGTATTTGCATAGATATAGTCACATGACTTAGTAGTTGTAAATTTGCTGGGACTGTTGTACTCCAGGAGGAGTAACAAGACCATTCACTAACGCAAAGCACAGTGTATCCTCAGTGGTTTAAGCTTTCAGTGCCTGCTGAAGATTGCAGTACATATGCATAAATAAGATAGTCATGGTGATTTCCAGGCTAAGTTACCTTGAAATTACTGTTCTACAATCATAAATATGTCCTTCACTCTGATGGTTTTATTTCAGCTGTGATTTGATGGGATCTGAGGGCCTGATCCAGCCCATAGGTTGCTTTTCTACATTTTGGCATGCCACATGCAGGGTGCCTTTTGGCTAAGTTTCAGTCCTGCTTCTACAAAGACAATGACTTGACTTCAGGGGTGAAAATTCTGAGAGGTGCTTTGAAGTGGAAGATAAAAAGCATTTAAATCTTTTGCACAGTTTCTAGCTTCTCAGTTTTGGGTAAAGATCACTGGATCCCAGCTTTCCCCTTGTAGGATGAGGGATAGTGGCAAGAAGTGAAAATCATTGTAAAACTGGGCGTTAGACGGTTTTAATCAATTTTTATCTAAGCTATTTTTTAGATACTAGCACTTTCTCATTAGTTTTTATAACTTTATCAAAGATGATAGTGGCTTGTGGAGATTGCAGAGTTCTGCAACTTATTCTTCTGTAGAGTGCATTTATATAAGCTATAAAAGTTCAGGTGTTGATAGCTTTAAGCTTATTAAATTAAATGATACCTTGCTGCAGAGGTGCCTCTGATATCAGTATGGACAAGTACAATTTAGAAAGCAAATCCTTCTTTTGAATGGAAATCTTGTTGCTTTAGCACCTTCATCTGTTTGGGATCACTTCAAAGTGGATCAAAATTTGTCTGGTTTAACAATTAGGCATCTTTTACTGAATCAGCTGAGTGTTAGCTACTATTTTTCAGCTCACCAGGGTGTCAAATAAACCGACTTATAAAATCATAAAATGTCCCGAATTGGAACGGACCCATAAGGATCACCAGATTTGTGTTGTTGATATTTTCCTGGTTTCAAGTTTGTCAATTCCTAGGTTGTGCTGCTTTGCCTCCACGGGGAAGCTTATGTGACCTTGTAAGTGACTATCCGGGCCGAGAAGATGCCCTCTGGGTATCTTTTCTCAGTCTCTGACTAAAAATAGACCTAGTCTTTGATACAGTCAGTGAATGTTCATGAATGAAGTTGGGGCTGGTGAATCTCAATGGAGACCACCATCGCACTGCACCAAAATCATCAGACTTGTGGGGTTTGATGCCAGATGCCGCACAGTGGTCTTGCAAGAGGTGCAGCAAAGTCCAGTGATCCACACAAAAGGTTTAACAGGTTTCTGGTTCTTCCCATTAAAAGCAAAACCCACCTGTCCCAGATTCTTGCTATAAAGCATGTTCTAATGTTTAAGACTGCCTGTGAGATTCCAGTGAATACCTAATGGTTGATCTATTTTCTAACGTAATTACTGCCTGTGCCATTGTGCTGCTGAAAACCTGAGGCCGCATTCTGACACCTTTAATACATCAAACAGTGCCTATTTTTGTGAGTAATTCTGCAAAAGGAAATGGTTTTAGGAACCTCATCTATTAAGATAACTGTTTGCTCACATAAAGTGGGACCTTTGGAAAAAAAGTCTTCCTGGATGCTAAAACAATATTTTGCACTGCAAGCACAGCACCGACAGAGTTCCCTTTCCAGCTTTGCATTTCAGCTTAAATAAAAGTAAACCTATTACGCAAATGATATAATACTAAAAGTATGTGGTTACAAACCATTTACTTTCAAAGTTTCATAATGTCTTTGTGCCAAATACGTTCATATATTAATTGCAGCTGATAGGGAAGAAGATCATTTTAAAAAGGGGTTAGACACTTTATTCAGCCATCCGCTTCTTTCATTTCATTGAATTGATTTCTAATTGAGGTTGGTGAGTTCACTTTGCCTGCAGAAAGCAACTTTCACAGGTACAGGGGCTTTTCTGTGGAATGAAAAACCTGCGTATCCACAAAGGCAGTTGAAAGTAGGAGAAGAAATTGGTGTCGTAGAATTTGTCAGTGTTTTATGAGCCACTATTAGACAGAAGAACACATCTTCGGAGCCTTTCCTTCCTCCTTGCGATGCATAATTTATATGCTGTAAATTAATGATTCAGTGCATGTTCTGTAACAAAACATCCCACCTACCTTAGAGAATTGTGTCACAACAACTTACACAATATGTAAGGTCCGAGTTCAGTTATTCTTGTATCTACATCACATCTGCAATGTAAGAAATTTACATGAAAAGTAACAAGTATTACTGCAATGCATCAAAAACAAACTGTATTTGTTGTTTTTGACCTCACTGAGATGTTAATCAGATTTCTGTCTTTTTTTGCGTATACCTTCTAGTAGATGAAAAACGTTTTCTCAACAAGGAAATTGCGGAATAGCACATGACTTAGCCATGAATCTGATTTTCCCTTCTGATAGGAATCATAAGACATTTTAATAAAGATAACCATATGAAATTTTCAATATGACCTTATATTTTCTAGATTTTTTTATATTTATATCTTGCTTTATCAATGGAGAGCAGTGTTTGTTTAAGGAAAAAAAAAAAAAAAAAGATTAATTTGGGGAAGTCAGATACAAATTGGCTTCTGTGTCCTTCAAAAGACCTTGCCATTGCTGGAACAACTACTGCATAAAACCAAAGATGAATACAAATAGGTGGTATTGTCTCCATGATGTGCATTCAGTAAATTCCAAGGGCAGGCCCTAAATCTTCCTGGTCAGTGCCATTTCCATTAAATACATGTTCTAGAAGCCCAGGTCTCATTCCAGCTTTACATTTGACAGCGCATTTAATCACATAAAGCCTCCACAGCTAATCTCCCAGAGCTGAGACAAACTGGCAATCTTCTTGTCTTCGTAACCTACTCATAACTACATGCATCCAGAAAATAAGGCTAGAAACAGGTTTCCATGGTGCACTGTCTATTTTCACAGCTTTTTTTCCCAGCTGTGGAAGCTTATGATTAAATACAATGCCTGTCTTGCTTAAGGATTGCAGTAATTGTTAGATGTTTGGGGTATTTACAGTTGTTCATTTTTGGGTCACAGCTTGGCAATAAAGATCAATGGAAATTCTATTCTTTTCACTTCAAGGAAAATGCTGTGTATTTTTGGAATGTTTTTTTTTTTTTCAATTTTCCTGTGAAAATAGCATACATATTAACAAAACCCTTATCACCAATATATTGCATCTTAACATCATTGACTTTTTTTCACTGTTAATCACATTAAATTTGAGACATTTCTACACTGAAACCTAATGTTACCTTTTTTCTCACAAAAAAAACCCCACAAATACAACAAAAAATCCTTGTCTCTAAATATATTTCCATAAAATCCTTTGAATTCAGCAAATAAAGCCATAAAATTTCTAAACAAATCTAGTGTGAAACCTCTTCTCCCACCTCTTACTGGAGCAATATAGTTCTTTGTATTTCTGTTGCTGTGCTGCTTCTGATAATGCTTTCCACTTCTGTAAGGTTTTAAATCCACCTTTCTCACTTTTATGCTTTGCATCACCAGTAATTAAGTTCATAATGAATCTAATGTCTAGTGTAGCTCAAGAGCTTAGTTAAGATATGGTTGAAAATATGCAGGACTTTCATGCATGAGGAGATCAACTGCTTTAGATATTTCCCAAATAATAATGTAGTGTCAAGGAGCTTCAAATCTCGTACCTAGATCTTTTGTGACTCTTGTTTAAAATCCTATGAAGTGTATCAAGAACCATGTACTTTCCACAGAAATCTGGCCACTTAATAAGACTGAAGTTCAAGCTTGTCATGCTGTTATTACATTTCCTTGCATGCTTGCTTTAAAACTCCTCTAACTCCTTTTTCTTGCTATACTTTCATTCTCATACAAATGAGTCTAGCACTGTAGTTGCACTTATTTAGACAAGTAATAGCTTTCCAGAGGTGTCAGACTTACGAAATCAAGCTCTAACTTCAATAGTGTTGCACTAGAAAATGTGCTATGTGAAATACTTAGGTTGGAAGCAATGATATTTACAAGTTGTTTTTGTTTTTTTCTTCCCACATTCATAACCACAGGTCAGGAAAGATTTGGAAACATGACCAGGGTCTATTACAGAGAGGCCATGGGAGCATTTATTGTCTTTGATGTTACAAGACCTGCAACATTCGAAGCTGTGACAAAATGGAAAGAAGACTTGGACTCTAAGCTTGTTCTTCCAAACGGCAAACCTGTGCCAACAGTCCTCTTAGCAAACAAATGTGACCAGGGAATAGACGTTCTTATGAACAACGGCATCAAGATGGATCAGTTCTGCAAGGAAAATGGGTTCGTGGGCTGGTTTGAAACATCAGCCAAGGTAATGTTTCAATTTCTTTTTAAATGTTTGTCTTTGTGCAGAGAAATTCGTTCCCAAAATAGCTCACAGAGTTGAAATGTCTAACTTGCATTGCTTCTATTTTGGTGGATTTAATTAATGGTAAATTTGCAAATTCAAAAAGCCTTCTGTGGTAATTTGTATTTTCCTTAGGTGTTTTATTCCAAAAGAAATTATATGCAATGATATGAAATGCAACTTCTCTTAAGATTATAGACCAGCAGCAAATGTACAACTGGACAACAACATACTCTGTAATAGCCTAGGGAAGAAGATGACTTTTGGTAAGATGCAAGGATATGAAATTTTTTTTCCATAATTCTTGCATTCAGTGTTGTCTCTAAATATTTATACAACCACTGTCCCTTAGAAATCTGATCTGAGACAAGAGCTTCATTGTGTAAAATTCCAGAAAGCCAATCCATGGTAGCACTCATAGTAGTCTAAGTCTAACTCTCAATCTCAATGACCTTTTCAGAAAAGTCAACGTAACCAGGGAGGAGAAGAGTACTGAAGCTGCTGAATGAGCTTCTCTTTTGTTCAGTTCTTTGCCTTGGTGCGGATTTTATGGGTGACTGTAAGAAACTCAAGATTAAAATCAAAAAGGCACTGGTATGTTTAGAGCGAAAAAAACATATATCCAGGTCATGACTCCCATACATCAATTTGAGGTTTCTCATACAACTTCACTACGTAAAAATTTGCAGAGCTGACATACTAAGACTGAGGTTCTATGAAAGGGAACTGTCTCAAAAACCCTATTTGACTATATGACACCTGCATATTGTTATAGTTTGTGAAAGATTGTCATAACCTTGGGACTTTCCATTCATGTAGTTTAATTTGAATAAGGGACCCAAGAAATTGTGATAGTATCTGTAAAAGCTGTATTCCAAAAATGCAGTAAACTTTAGTAAGGTTACCGTGCAGGAATTATGAAAAGCTTCTGCCTCTAGATACCTCAACAAGATTTCTGTTTATAAAGAAAGGATGTGACCAAGAATAAATAAATACGCAGTACAAATACCCCCACCACTGTATTTTCGAAAGCTTTCAGTATGTTTAGTCTTTTAAATAGAGCCTTTTTCCTCAACTCTTTATCTATAAATCTGCTTTGCATTTCCAGCCTTTTGTCTGCCTCCAATTTTGGCTCATATTCACAGAACTGAGGAGAGGAGTGCTTGACCCCTTCTGATGCTGAATGGATGTTTTTGAATAAATATGTTGTCCCCACATACCTAAGTTCCAATTATATTTTCATCTCAGTGCCTTGCATCACATTTTTCCTCTAACTCTTTTGAAGCAGAGTGAGAAGCCTGTGATGTGGCTGTCTAGACACCTCCCAGAGTAAATGAAGAAAAATGTACCTTTCTGTATCGTCCTGAATTGGGCACATCTCCCTAAAAGGAATACTAGCTCTCCATTTACTGTCAAGAGATCTTAACTCTCTATATCCTCCCTATACCTGTCTAAAATTAGCTTATATGATTTACACACTTATTATATTTGTGTAGTTTCTATCACAATGCGACCAATTTTTTTCTATCACATTCAATAAGAAGATAGGAAATCTCATATTGTGATTCCTATCACCAGCAATTGTATCCAATTAATTTCAAGTTGCTGGAACCTAAATTTTCACTATTTTTATTATTTTATTTCTGTCATGACAACGATTTCTAATAGAAACTTGATTGCAAAATAATGATTTAAACACAACTTCTCAATGGATGTTATGTTTATTATATTCTCTGATTATGAAAACTGCTCTCATCATTAACAGCCCGGGAAGACATCTGGATATTTTAAATACAAACAATTTGGCTCTGACTTGGCCAAAATTTTTAGCAGACTGAAAGACAAAATTTTGTATTCAGTTTGTATGAACACTTCATGAAAGTTACTTAAGAATTTTTGGATGATATGCTTGCATTTTACTTTTCTTGGCATCTGGACATCTTCTAAAGTATTAATACTTAAAGGAAGGCTCACTTATAGTTAGCAGAAGTAACAGCAGGTAACTGCTTCAAGCACTTTATGAGCTGTGGGCTAAAACATCATTGTAGTCAGTGTCTCCTTGTTCCTACTGAATGGCCTTCAAAGTAGTCACTTTTCAAAGTGCTGTCTTCAGGGAAACACTTTGGTCTGTGTCCATGAGACAATTATCTTTCTCTACGAATAGGGTTCATTTCATTCCTGCTGATTTGTGCTGGATGAAGCCACTAGAAGCCAGTGTTCCTCTATAGGACAAACAAATATTTGCTGTGAATTGTGTTTAGTTCTGGTTTAACTGAGAGACTGAGATCTCTTACATCGGGTTCTTCATGATAATTATGGCAGAAAGTTAATTATTCCAGGAGAAAAGGAAAACCTGGGGAGCAAAGCATTTGGAATAGCAGCTGCAAGTAGAAGATTTAGAGAGCCGGGGGAATTTATCAGGACAAATTATTTTTTGCAAAAGAATTACATGTTCTGGCCCTTTTTCGTATTCTGTCAGGTGTCCATCTGCCTTTCAGGTAACAAATAACATGAAATATCTCGTCATAATTGATATGGAGCCTATGATGTTGTGTGTGGCTATTTTGTTCAGAACTACTTATTCTTCATTCCTGGCATGTACATGAGTCTGCATTTCTTGGGGACAAGAATCAATTCACTAAAAACTCAAGGTCTAGTGGTAAACTCACCACCACCAAAAAACAAACAAACAAACAAACAAAAAGCCTGGGAAGAAATGTACAGCAGATTGGTTTAAAATGCTTGGATCTATAAGGTTTACAGAGATAACATGAATTTGATGGAACAGAGGTACAGGATAGCTCTTGATTGAGGAACAGAGGTTTCATTATTCGAGTTTTTGTTTTGCATCAGCAGCTGGTCACTGATCTTTAACCTATGAGTTCTAGAAATCAATTCCAATCTGTTCACCTCTTGAGAGCAACACATTTCTAGTGACATGTACAAACAATTTCAAAGGTGGCATGGTGATGGAGGCTGGCTTGTCTTGGGCAGAATTGTGGAAATGCAAAGGATAATTAAAAGATGTCTCAAAAGAGGAAAATTCAGACTAAGTTTCTATAAGCCAAATAGGCTTAAGTTTTTGAGTTATTTAGAAACAATAATTATCTAGATTCTTACTTTATTTGGCTTAGGAATAACTGCTGGCCAAGCAGTCCTCTGCTTACCACTGAAGTCATGTTGGAATATAAAGTAATCCAACTATGACAAAACTTGTCTTCAATAGCCATTGAGGGGAGAAGTGAGAATTGAGGCCCCCATTCCTTTTATCGAACTATGTTTTGAAGATACAGGCTAGGGTCTGATATTCTAAGATCTCCATATCTGATCTTCATCCAGAATTGTAGGCTCTAAATGATTCAAAGCAAAGTAGTCACACTAAGGACAGTGAAATCACAATACTTATGGTGAATTAGACCACAATAATTTCCCCATTTGGTCTTTTTTTTTTTTTTTTTTTACTGAACAGAAGTTCTTATAACTATTATTTTAAAATTTTAGTTGTAGCATATATCCAGTATTCTTTCAGCCTAGGGCATATTAAATAATAGAACTTGGGACTGGGGAAAATAAAAACCTGCCTATGGTTGCTATAGAAAACAGAAACTCTTTTCTGAAGTGGAATAACACTGACAGAGAAGTCATCATATTGCAGCTAGCAGTTTTAGCAGTTCAAATAAATAATAACTCTTTCTGGGGTATCCTGGAATAATTAGGTCTCCAGAGGTTTGCTGCCAGCATGCTTGGAAATGCTATCACCTTCATAACAAACTGAATATGATTTATGCGTTTTGGAAAAACAAAGGTGATTATTTATAAAAATGCATCTTTTAGTTCTGGTTGCCTTGCAAGCTGTGTATGTACCTACCATATTTTATGCTGTCAATGGTTTGAAATTTTTTTCTATAACACTGGAATATTACACCAAAAACATCACTGTACTATTCCCTGGTGCCGTTTTTCTTAACAACTTTAATATAAATCATTTGAGCCACCTAATGTACTCTCTTATGTTAGCCTGGATTCTTACATTAATCTAAAGGAAACATTCAACCTTTTCCAATCTTCAGCTCCCAACAAAGGTGAAACTTACATTGACAGATTCTCATGTAAGAAGAACCTTGTTGGGCAACAGCACAGTGCAATATAGTCCTGTTTTATATATTGTAAGTCCAGTAGAGAACCTGGTGTCTTTTACATGCGTCTTTGGTTCGCTCATATCAAATAGGAAATTATTTAATGAATTGCATTGAAAGAGGGGAGATTTAGAATGGATGTTAAGAGAAAATTCTTTACTCAGAAGGTACTGAGGCACTAGCAGAGGCTGCCCAGAGAGCTGTGGGTGCTCCAGCACTGGAGGTGCTCAAGACCAGGTTAGATGGGCCCTGGGAAGCCTGAGCTGGTAGCTGACAACCAACCCATGGTGGAGGGTTGCAACTGGATGGGCTTTAAGGCCCCTTCCTACCCAACCATTCTATGATATGATATTGTATAATATTGTGAAAAATGTGTTTTTATAAAGGAGGAAAATTTCTAATTCCTGTAACACGTGTAATTATCCAGCATGTCACTAGCGTAACTGAGAAGTCCACTCACTTTTTTGAGACTTTAAACCATCCTTGCCAATGTTTCCTGTTCAAAGATGAAAGTTTTTAACTTGGATTAAAATAGCATCAATGTTAAGCTTATTATCACTTCATAATGAAAATGGAACCATTCGTCAGAACAGACAAATCAGGCAAAACGGAGTGTGTTTAAAATACCTGATTCAGAAGTGAATTTAAAAATCTTACTTCTTCCATAGCTGTGTTATGATTATGCTTGAGTCCCTCATTCCATGCTATAATCCTGCTGTCAGCATCAGAATTAGGTAAAAAGCCATTAAAATTTTGTCCACATTGCCCAGAAGGTCTAGCAGGCAAGCTTTTCAGATTCTTACCAACAGGGTCTTGCACACTGATGTC